GAGTGTGTGTTACTCGTACAGGCCAGCAGCTGGAAGGCTCCGGTGAACAGAAAGCGCTTTCCTTTAGGCAGTGTGTAGAGCTGAGCGACGAACACGAACAGGCCGAGGATGCAGAAGATGCACGCGAGCACAGAGCTGGCCTGGACCGCCTGCAGATACTCTGAAACATGACACGACAGACCAACACGTGAGTGTCTGATGAGCTGGTTAAACCAAAAATGAAAATTAGCCTGTGATTGATGTTTCAAATGCTGTAGAACCATTGCAAATAAATGCATACAAATACACAAGTGACGGTACAAAAGCTAACAGTAACAGTAATAAATGCTGTGAGTGAAAGAAGCATTAAAGAAAACTTGTTCATGCAAAATTTGAGAAATAGTACTTATTACCAAATGCTTTATCAGAGATTTCAGATCAGTGAGATTCACAAAACTCACTCAATGTGTTTGCGTGACAGATTAACGCTGAACTGATTAATGTGTGTTCAGACCTTTAGGATAGTGAACAGGAATCTCAGTGTAGTTCCAGTTTCCTCCAGTCAGAGTCCAGCGAGCCCAAATATCAGTGGACATGGAGTCGGCCATCCACCAGGCCTGCACACACACACACACACACACGTCAGCATGAATGAGAAACATGCATTTCACCAGCCGTCATCCACTGGACTGTCTAAGCGGTTCTGCTAAAGTCTCAGCTCTACATGAACTTCTGGTGTCATATTCTTCCATAGCAAACTTTTCTGTCGTATTACTATTAACTATCGATCATAAGTAATTTTATTACATTATAATATAGTATATTATGTATATTATGAACTGTAATAAATGTAACATATTACTACATTAAATCATAATATTTTAGCAATGAGTTCCAGAAGCTCTGAATATCTTTTAGTGTGAAGGTCAGTTATATAAATATTTAGTCCTGTTGTGTAACACTTGCTCAAGATTTTATTTTGTGGTTAATTTTCTCACAGTTTCCAAACCCTGCTCTAAATGTGGACGTGATCTCCATTCCTGCCATGGACGCATGTTCCTAATCTGCTGCGATAAAGTGTTTGCGAGAGGATCCCTGCCTGGTCTTACAGAGGATGAAGTTGAAGTAAGAGACTGTTTGATTTGGAGATAATTAATAATTCATGAGTGGGTGAGTGAAGCCCCACCCCCGGCCCCGCCCACAGTCTGTGATGCGTGTCACTCACGTTATGGATGGTGGCGGCCAGCAGCAGACAGATGCAGGCGATGTGGAGGAGGAAGATGGCAGCGAGTAAAACCAACATGACTGACGGAGAGAAAAAACACACAGACATAATAATAATCAGTAATATAATCCATATGACTGCACTGACTCTATCAGATGAGAACAAAACTGAATTGATCTGAATAATGACATTATCTTCTGTACATCTGCTTTATAGCTGAATCAACTTTGTTCATAATTAATGAATTGTGCAAAATTGACACTGAACTAAAGCAAGATTGAACTGAGTGGAGCTGAAGAGCATTCTGTCATCAGCTGAACTGACTTGATCTCAGTAACCACGCTTGTCTGCTTACAGCTGCTTTACTACTGTTGTCCTTCATTTCTGAAGTTTGCTTCGATTCTGTTATTATCCTGTTTGTTACCTAGAAGCTGCTTTGACATGATCCGTGTTTTATAAAGAAATAAATCTGACTTAATGGAAGTGTGAACGCTAGATATTGACAGCTATTTGCTGTGGTTTTCTTAAACACATTTGAACAGCAGCACATAAAACCAGTGTAAAATCCTCCCATGTACAGCTGTGTGTGTGTGTGTGTGTGTGAGAGTGTGTGTGTGTGTGTGTGTGTGTGTGTAGACACACTAATTCCTCCATGTTTCTCAGGATTTATCATATTTATACAGAAGAACAACAGCAAAGCGTCTCGCTGACCAAACGCCATCATCTCACCGCCTGACACACACTCTCAACCCAACACACACTCACACAAACCTTCTCAACTAACACAAGACAGTTTGTTAAACCGCGCGAGTGGAGAGACATGTGAGGAGTCTCAGATCTTACCTGCGGAGTAACAGAAGGCTGGATGAGAGCAGCTTCACACTTCCAGATGTGATGTATGTGTGACTGTAGATCTTTACACTGAACTATGAGTGCAGCTGCTCTCCGCTGCAGTGTTTTCTCAGCTCAATGGGTTGAAACTTGTCTCAGCATTGCACAGAAATGCCACTCCCTGAAGCAAGCGTCCCTCCTCTCGCTGTCTGTCCCTCTCAGCCCCCTTCAGACACACTCAGTCCTCCATGTTTCTCAGGATTTGTCACATTTACACAGAAGAACAACAGCTGAGCGTCTCTCTGACCGAACGCCATCATCTCACCGCCTGACACACACTCTCAAACCCAACACACACTCACACAGACCCTCTCAAGACTAAGACGAGACCCCAGACGAGTGGAGAGACGTGTGAGGAGTCTCAGATCTTACCTGCGGAGTAACAGAAGACCGGTCACTGAATGAGAGCAGCTTCACACTTCCAGATTTGATGTGTGTGTGACTGAAGATCTTTACACTGAGCTATCAGTGCAGCCGCTCTCCACTGGCTCCGCCCCCAGACCCGCCCCTCACTCTCATTCCTGCAGTGTCTCGCTCTTGTCTGTAAAAGGGTGTGGCGTTTGGGAAGGTCCTGACAAGCCCTTTTCCCGCCGGCTTTATGAAAACTCTGTGAAAGAACTTTACTGATCGCTGGCTTACACACACACACACACACACACATACACACACTCACACACGCGCGGACACACACACACACTTGTCACACGTGTCTGTCATTTTGCACCTCAAGTCTTTTAAAAATTTAAAAATGTTTGTACTGGAAAACAAGACAGATACTGAGCATTTTGCAGCCTATCGTGAATCAAAGAGATGTTTGTTATTATAATTTTTTTTAGATAATTAAAAATTATCCTTATAAATAGGAAATCAACTATAGTGATTGAAAAAGTTTGAGAAGTTTTTCAAATTTTGGAAAAATGTGAAACTCTAGATTCAGGTTTGCTCAAGGACTTTACTAAAGGAGGAGAGATTTAAAATGACTAATTTGTTTCTTTTTTGATTTCACCACAATGTCACAGCGATGTGAAACGCCCAGTACACACATCCCAGAATGCCTTTCACTGACCTTAGGATGTGATTCTAGCGTCTGAATTGTCCTGATGTCTGCGTGAGACGCGGTTCGTTACGTTTGGACTTTCACTGGCTTCTGTCTGGAAAACAGTTTGACGGAGATGATTCTGATGAGGGTCTCTAGACGCTGAAGTTCAGTGTGGTTCAGAAAGAAAGAGCTGTAAAAGCACTTCAGATTTGTGTGACCATTAAAGCTGGTGAACATGTTTTAGTGCTGCTGCATTCATATGAAGTGAGTTGTTTTAGTGGGTTTGCTGTTTCACACATTTGCTCCCTGGATCCCAAAAACACCAAACACTTCACAAGTAATGACAAATACGTGCCTCCTTTATTCCTGTTGTTTTCAGTCTTTGCTGTGGTTTTTTGTGAAATGTGTTGCTGTGAGTTTAGTGTTCGACTCTCAGTGAGGAAACAAACACAAACACACCCTGTGTGACACACACACACCCTAATGAGAAGAAGAAGAGAGAAGCTAGAAATGTTGTTCAACCAGAATTCACCTGCAGGACAGTTACAGCCTCACCTGAACACACACACACACAGTAACGTCTTTGTGCAAGAACAACAGTCTTACAACAACTGTGTGTTTAATCCATCGTGATCTTTATTCCAGTGTTACACACACACACACACAGAAGGTGGATGTGTGTGTGTGTGTGTGTGTTTTGATATGCATCTTGATTATTGAGCGTTTGTGTTGAAATCCGGATGGGAAAGACAGCATTTTGAAATGCATTTTGATTGTTGAGTGTTCGTGTTGAAATCCGGATGGGAATGTTTTGGACACTCCCATATTTCAGTGCCCTTGTTCACATGTTCACGCGTGCGTGCACACACACACACACACACACATGGTTCAAAGGTTGCTGTCTGTTTCTCACACTCGAGGGCTAAACTATCACTGTTTCTGTTCCTCATTCTATCAGTCAAGAGGAAAAAAGTTTCTCGGCTCTGAAGCAGTTTTTAAATAAGTTTTCTTCTTGTGCTGTAAGGCTGTAGTTCAGCCGGAAATCACAGTTCTGTCATCATTTAGTCTCCCTCATATCATTACAAACCTGTATGACTTTCTTTCTTCTGTGGAGCATAAAAGTAGATATTTTGAAGAATGTTGAGATCCAAACAACATTGAACCCCATTGACTTTAATTATATGAGTAAAAACACATTTCTCCAAATAACTTTTTGTTTAACTGATAATCTATTTATGTTTGCTTTACCTATTTTTTCCCCTTTGTTTTGTTTGTAAAGGAATCTCAGCAACTAATACAAAACTGTATATTGTTTATTCATATTTTTGATCATGTTATTTTATGCATGACTCAGGATGTTAAAGTATACTGATGATTATTTATTCATATTTTGTTCAGTTGTGTAGCAGGAAGAACAGCCACAGGTCTCTCTCTCTCTCTCTCTCTCTCTCTCTCTCTATCTTTCTATTTCTCTCTCTGTCTATATCTATCTATCTATCTATCTATCTATCTATCGTTATATACAGTAAT